AATTAGCGTCCAGATCTCATCCGGTTGTCAAATTCAAGGGCAATGTTATCGAAACTGGGAGGTAACACGTGATAAGGTCTCAAAAATACACTCCTTCGGCACCAAATAAATTTACATAAATTGTTTTATCTATTAAAAGATTATTATTTAATTATTTTATCAACGAAACTGTGCTTTCTTATGCTAATTAACTTTTATCATGTGCACCAACGAAGTTTTCTTTTTGTAAATGGAAACTGGTATCAAATAACAAAGACGGATTTTTCGCTGTCTTAATTTCAGAAATAATTTCAACTGGAAAAGCGTCCTATTCTATCTACAGTGGGGCAATGCGGCCGGGGCATGAAGCTAACATTTCATCAACATTTAGTGCCGAGATTAAGCATTCGTGGAGCCAATCCTCCATATTTCTGCACCGTGCTTTGTTAAGTACCCTTTTTGATAAGTAATTTGTAGAATCATTTTTTGTTTTTTGAAGCAATTTTCTCCAGAGTTCCCTCCTGGTTACTAATTATTGTTATCATATTCAGGAAGAGTCCAACATTCATACTTTCACTGTTGTAATTTGAAATCTCGCAGGAAGAGTCCAAAATTCTTACTTTCACTGTTGTAATTTGAAATCTCAGCAAGAAGTAATAACGTGCATTATACTAGCATTTGGATATAATCACGACAAATCTCGTGCAATAGACGCTCATTTCCTGCTTCGTATAATCTGTTACGCCTGAATATTATGCAACTTATAAACCATGAATGTCTGGTGTGTTGACTTCTGAGCTTGTTGCTTGGATGAACACTCCTTTCGCATTGTTCGACGTACCTGAAGCCAATTATTACGAATGTAAGAATGTAATGTGACTTTTACGACACCTAGTGCACAGAATATACATCTCTTTGTTTGTGATTCTCGCGATAGATGGTAGCACTGGCAAAACAAAGAAACTAGCAGTTTTTTTTTCACATGTCTTACCTGCACTCCAGTTGTTTGTGAAGTAAACACGAATTTCGACGCTGTGCGTAATTTTATTAAATTTATTGGTCAGTTCACTTGTGAATTTAAACTTGTACGACACTCCAGCCTTTATTCCGTGTTTTGTTATAACCAAAAAGTCCTTTATAGTTCGTTTAAGGACTTGGGAAATATCTTCAGTAGAGGATATAAAATTGTCCCTGGAGCTTTCTAGCAGCACTGCGCCGTGGAGACGTACGAGGAGCTTTGTCCCGAGGAAAGAAGCTTGGTACCCATTTTATAAATGGATGGGACATGTAGCACGCATGGGAAATATGAGAAATTCACGTAGCAAATTAGCCGGGAAAACCGTATGGTCCACTGAACTATGAGAAAGTTATCTTACTCATGTATACGTTCATATTCTGTGACTTTAGTTTTATTTAACCGAATTTAATTTACATTATATTTGTCCACATGTAATTTTAATTATTAAACTATTCCACAAAATACCACAAGAAAGAATTACGCATAGATTGGAGGATAATATTAAAATGTATCTTTAGAAAATAGGATCCTGTTCTGCGGATTGAAATCCCTCTGACTCAGGTTATGGTCTGTTGGTGTGATTTTATGAATATGGTAATGAACATTCCGTTCCCGTAAACTGCAGGGCAATAGCTGTGAGCCTCTCAAGATGTCTTCGTGCATTTTTTTTTTAGGGAACTCGAGGAGTATGTCACTTTGGCAACAGCGCACTCATGACGTCACTGAGGCCCATGAATGAGGGCAATTGATGATTCCGTGATGATATGCATTACTATACTGTGCTCCGCCCGTCATATTACTTACTGTGGTTACAGCCTTCTGGTAACATTCGCGTTTCATGAGGTAAGGAGTCAATTAATTAAGTCAGTTACTTAGAAAAGCTTTTATTTGCAGTTACTATTTTTCTGGAAGTGGAACGATTCGGTACTGAAGTCAACATTACGGTAATGTTTGTTATTATTCGTTGTTTTATTTATGTGTTTTTTTTTCAATTTCTCAAGGATAAGAATCGATTTTTATCGGCAGACTGGCTAGCAGACGATAAAACATTAATAATATGACATTTCGTTTGTGTGTCGAGACAATGTTTTGCGCCTCTCGTACGCGTTCATGTTCCATGACAGATTATTTTGTGTTAGTTTCCTTTTTGGCTGAAGTTACAACTCGTTTAACACACAATTTTTGATAAAGTTTCCTGACGACAGTTTGTTACTCTCGGGATTACTAAATTCTTGGAGTTCGTCCATATTTTGGGATTCAAAAGAACACCGACTCATGTATACTTTCCTTGTTTAACTACGTACTGAATCGAATCAAGAGTATTCCAACCCATAATCTATAACCTATTAGAAAACAGTGATTGCCTAGGGGTTGGACGACCGTGGTTCGATTCCCGGCAGATTCTTCTCTGTATCGCAACGTCTGGATCGGTTCTAAGCCTTCCAGCCTCCTCTTCAGTGGGTGATCATTTCCCCAGGGTCAAAGCGGCTGGGAAGAGGTTAAGAATGCATGGAATTAAACCTCCATTACCCCCCATACCAGGGGCTTTAACGCAATTATTTTTGTCATAATTATTATCATCACTCTGCTTTATGCACGCAAATGAATTTCAGCTGTTTATATAAAAAATAACCTACAGTAGAGCGAGTGTCATTTAATAGGATTGTTTCCCCGTAACCATGTCCTATCGGCGTCATAATATGGAGTCGCTACGCTACGTCACTGTTAGCAAAAACAAAGGCCTTGTTATGCAAGTGTGTTTAGTCGTAGGAAAAAAAAAGAACGTCGAACAACAACTGTAAGCAAATAAGCCCCACATTCTTATTGTTCTTCCATACGCTTTAAGTTGGCAACCTTCGTAAAGAGTGGATAAATATAGAACTGATTTCTGGAATAATTACGTTGCGAATTAACCAATGTGGTAACAGGAATGTGTAAAGTTCGAATCAGTGTTCTGATATTTGGGTTTTCTTTATTTACAAAACAATTTTTTTACTTTGTGTTTTGTGTAATAATGACGTCGGCTGTTTTAATATTCACTCTAAAAACATTTATTTTATAAAGCTCTGTTCGTATGAAACAGTTGCATACCGGTATTTACAAAGCTAATTTTAAAGTACAAACAACTTCAAAAGACAGTGACAGCCTCACACGTGCCTCCGTATTTAATAAAACACGTCCTGACTTTTCTGCTAAACCTTACATAAACTATTTTGACCTAACCTAACCTTACATAAACTATTTTGACCTAACCTAACCTTACATAAACCATTTTGACCTAACCTAACCTTACATAAACCATTTTGACCTAACCTAACCTAACCTAACTTGCCACAAGACTGAACGTGGACCATACTAACATTTCTTTGTTTTCCATTAGACGAAAATCAAAACATTTTTAGACCTCTGATGAAGTTTTCCTTTTATCCACCTACAGGAGGGACCCCTGAAACGCGATGTTGAATCAACGCTCGTAAAATGCAGGACATGTCTTCAACAGTTCAATAAATAAATGGTTTCGTGGCTCACGTACAGTCTGTCGTGTGTGATTTCAACAAGATTAACCGAAGAACAAAGATTGAAATGCATGTTCTGTATTTAGCAAATTCCTTACTTGAAACTTTACATACGTCACTGACCTTGACATCTATTTAGTGTAAACAGAAATCTGCTGTCTGTGCTTTTGGTGATGTTTGTACATTAAAATAAGTGAGAATGTATTTGAATACGAACATGGCTTTGTCATACATCGATTTGAGAGTGAAAAAAAGTAAGCTGTTGACAATTGCTATCCGACACGCGTTTATGCAATTTTTACTCCGTTCCTAGAATTTGGGGTTGAATTATGAATTGGGGTGGCGATCGAAGGGAAATAGCGACTTGCATGTTTCGTACACAAACCAAACACAGCAGGTGAAGTGATGTCACGATTCCAGGAGACTTATAGCGATTCTACGAAGAGTTTAAAACGCAATTGGCTACGAACTTCCGTGCACGCTTTGAATTACAATTATCTAGAACTGAAAACGAGGCGGAAGTAATTTCCACTGCGACCGTTAACGAATCGAGTAGTTTCCTCATGAGCAATCGAGGATGGCCGACAGGGGGTAAATAGGGAGCTAGTAACGTCACATCTTAAGGAAAACAGCAGGATTTGAAAGGTAGCACGGAACTGGATGGCTTTTGTGAATGAGGCATTGAACCCTTGGGTTCTAAAAACGATTAAAATTTGATAAACTATCTGAAGAACTGTCAGCTTCTCAACGACTCTGCACTGTGGACTTGTTTACAATTCTATGAGTGCGTGTGTGTAACCTTATTTAACAATACTTTCTCAACTTCAAAGGTCATTTGCTTGGATCAAAATCTTAAATCGTCATCACAAATCTCATGAAGTGTAAGAATTTGTCCGCATTTATCGAAGTGACGTCAGAATTTGATGACGTAAAGTGTTTGTTGTGTTCAAAATTATATGTCCAGTAATACAATTTAAAGTTTGTTTTATTTTTGGACATATAATTTTGTACTTTTGGATGCTAACTTATGCAGTTTGTCCTCTTGGAGGACGTCTTGCCACGAGACATCAGAATCGACGCTGGCAACCCGACGCCAAGCGTCACGTCTCCCATTACCCCGAAACCGGCAACAATATCCTGAATAAAGGGAAGATTTTTAAGACTAAGCTTTTTAATTAGTTTACCGTACGCCTATGACACTATTTTGCGTCATATTACTTACCATTCGTACTGAAAAGCCTCTAATTATTTGTGGTACATTTGAGACACCCTGTATTATACTGTAATTTATGTTGACGGAACTGATTTAACTCAATTATTTAATATCGAGATAGTTGTTTATGTAACGCTGTAAGATACCGAATGTTTTTAAAGCTGTTTCATATTCCGACATGTACAGGTTGTCCAAAAAATATGTATACACAGATTCAATAAATTAAACGAGACATTTTAATAAAAACTTGACGCTTGATTAAGCACTGCACCAACTGTGTTAAGTTGTTTCCTCTGGAAATTCGCGGTAATCCGTTAAACACGTAGCACTTAACGCGTGTATTTATTTATTTATTTATTTATTTTATTTTATTTTTTTATTTTTTGTAGATCTGCAACCATGTCGCCTCAATACGTCCACGCCGACACAGACAGCGAACAGGACCGTCTTCTGAACGAATTCTTCAAGCCGTCTTTCAGAAGAGGTTACGTCCGGGTGGGACCCAACAAAGTCCTCATGCCAGTTTACTACCTGAAGTTCGCAGACCGCATAGAGAACATGGAAGTTCGAGACAGCGATGTGTGGGTCGTGTCCCATCCCAAAACAGGTAGTCGACTGTTCCTTTCACAAGGGTTTACATGATGTGAAGAGATGTAAATCGAAGATTTCGTTGCCATACACTGAACATTAAAATCATTGATTACGTTCACCAGCGTTCTTCAAGTGTCTGACATTTTATGTTTAATTTAAATTTAAACACAATTTTTACTAACATATATAATACGCTTTTCATATAATTATACCACTAAATAGTGCGTTAACTTTAATAATATTATTTATTTAACACAGTATTGAAACTTAACTGAAGATTACTTAATTAATTACTTAATTAATATTTTTAGTTTATAATTCCTGATCAAGAACTTTTTATTTTCTGATGTTGAGGTACGCGAGCCACATATTAAGAACTAAGAAGCTTTATCATCAGATCACGATAGCCGTTTTCCAGCCATGGTTGACGTGATACAAATTATTGTTACATCTAAGTTTGTATCACAATACAGAGCCGACCTTCGTGTGGTAATACGAAAGAAATTTAGTTGTTATAATGCTTTGTCATGTTACAAATGTGTATACACTATGTTTTAAGACTAAATTTGCGTAAAATTAAATTTCTAAACAGAATATAATAGGTTCCGGATATGTAATTTCAATCACGATAAAAAGAACAGCTTTGTCAGTCATGAAATTAACAATGCTTTAGACGTGATTTTGATTTACATTTTGTTGTCCGTATTTGTCACAGATGAAAGATAAAATAAACTACTTAGTCGTCGTAAAGCAGTGGATAGTAACTCCTTGTAATTATGTTACCGCGTCAGTTTTCTTAACCACGTGAATCAAGTTCACATCTTCACAAAAGATTTTGTTCCGAAAACCGTGGAATGGAAAGATATTCGATTACTCACAAACTCCAAAAGCCTAGTAACTGTACTGTAAACTACGGGCGTATCAATTTCATCCTTCAAAACAAAATACTTTCGAAATACGCAAGTATTATGTATCACTCTTTATACGGAAAGATAATAAGACGTACGTGTCCATTGTTGAAGACCAAAATAACTCGAGGGCCTTGAAAATACAATGTAAGTAGCCCGTATGGACGGACGTGACAGAATCTGAAAAGAATATGTTTATATAACTTGTAGAAATAGCAGTAAGATTAACAGTTGAAACACGCAATACGTTTTATCCTGTCTCGTAGTATTTATTTATGAATGCAGACCATTGTGATTATAGTTATTTCTCCTTCAGTGCTTTGGTTGGACAGAAAAGCTATCTTGATAATGACATTATTACAATCCGGTTTCGAATTTCTTAAACAACTCAAGGTCGTACACGTAATTTGTTTTTTTATAACGACCGAGGAAATAATAATTTGGTAAACAATGGCGAATATTTACACGATTATCGATTTTAACAGTTTTACGCTGGAGTTTCTTTGTTATATTGTTCTTGTAGTAAGTAACAACGTCTTGAGTTGGCGATTATATAAGTGTTGTAAATCATACGCGTTTCATGTCCAGAAGTTTTAAAATCTCTTGTCTATCTCGTTTGTTTAACCTTTAAACGTTAGCTTCCAAAGTTTGATTTCCATTATTCCGGGCTGAGTCAGAAAATTGTTACGTCATTTCTCGTAGCCTCCAGTCTACTAATCACTGAAGTTGGCCATGGCACTTTCAACAGCCCGTTCAGCTCTGCTCTGTGAACTACTTCAGTGGCCTTTGTGAACTGATAAGCAAAAGTTGTAGTATCTCATAATAAGATACCTTTGTCCTTTGTATTAGTTTGATAGTTCCGTTCCAAGAAAATGTAAGATTACTGAAGTCTGCGAAAAATGACACTCAAGATAACCCAGCCACTGTTATAGAAAATTAAACATTTTTAAGAGACAACAGATTCAAGCCACGGTGGTCTAGAACGCTGGCCTTGTAATCCTAGGGTCTCGGGTTCGATTCCCGGCTGTGCCCGAATTTATAACTTGTGTTGGGCAAGGCCGTGGTCTAGGCAACACGGAGTTTTCCTCCGTGGCATCCCAACAATTACTCCATTCACACACAGAAGAAGGCAATGGCAAACCACTTCTGGATCATCTGCCAAGAACGTATATGAACAGGTCCCAGTCCGAGAAAAGGATGGAAGGATCCTGTTCATATGGACCTGTCGTCAAACAGAACACTAAATAAATAAATATAATTGTAATATTATCCTCACATGTGTTTCATAAATGTTACGTGACCAGATATATTTATATACTTTTCATAATCATCGTGCCTTCTACATGTTCTGTCCATTTCATCTTCCTTGGTTTGATAAATGTAATATTATTAACTGCAGCGTATAATTAACCTGAACTACGACGAAGGAAAATATAGCCTGTTAATCAATAATACTTCGGTTAAAAATTTTAGCACCGGCAGAATTTATAAAAATCTATTTTATAAAAATTTTTTGGGGTCTAAATTTTCTGAGACGCCTTTCAATTTAAGTCGTGTTTAAACTACGACAAAGCATCCTTTTAAGTCCAAAGCACTTTTAAGGATCTCGTAGAATGTTAGTTAGCTTTATGACCGTGCAAAGCTGTAGCCACCTCGCCCAACCCCCAAGCTGGAGAGCGTAAGGAGTGCAGTGGTTAGCACTCCTGACCTGTTTTAAGGAAGTTTCGACCCGAAAGCGGGTTACCTTGACAGAAGTTTATCGCTGTGTTTTGTTTAACGTGTTAACGCGAATATTGGAATAACCCCAACTTCAAGTTTACAGAAAATATTTCCTTCAGCCAACAACACAACACGAACGATGTTTTTCTGGGTACTAACGTCGTGTATTCTATTGCGTGCATACCAGCTTTTCATACAAATATACTGTCTCCATCTTCAGGGCAGAAGTGGGACCTAAAAGGGAGAAGGTGTTAGGAGGCTGGGGAAAATTTCACAGTTCCTGTTCTACGTCAAATAGGATTATCAAATCAAAGACGATTAGATGGGCGGGGAATTCAGCGCGCATGGGGAAAATTAGAAATACGTACACAATAAAGGTCTATTTATATAGGAACGTAAAGATAACGACACGAGCACGACACGAGCCCTTGCCGATTTTTCAGAAAATATTATTCAACGTTTTTCAATGGAACTGTTTAGGAAAAATATCGTTTTAGACCTAAGTTGGGCGAGACTCGTTCGTGGAACGAACGAGCTCTGAGTCAATATAAATAGTTCCATTGAAAAACGTTGAATAATATTTTCTGAAAAATCGGCAAGGGCTCGTGTCGTGCTCGTGTCGTTATCTTTACGTTCCTATATAAATAGACCCTTATTCTGGTTATAACGCCTGAAGAGATCGTGTAAAACGTATATTAGAGGATAATATTAAAATGAATCTATTGAAATTAGGGTGCGAGATCGTGGATCGATCCATATGGATCAAGATAGGGATAGGTGGAATGATTTGTGGAAATTGTGGTGGACATTCGTGTTCCATACGAGGTACGGAATTTATTGACTTGCAGAGAGACAGCTTCTCAATAAGGACATTCCTGGGTGTAGTTGGTCTGCTGGTGTAGTTAATTAAAAACACTCCGCCTTGTCGGAGGGGCGGGGCACCACAGGAACTGTTCGTAATTTCGTGTTAAAAAACATCATTTTATTTTCTCTTGGTATCAAGCTTTTTAATAGCAGCTGTGAAGGTTAAGTCATCAGCTGCCCTCATAATGGGCGTCTTCTGGTTAAAGAAGGCAGTAAACATCGAGAATTCTTGCTAGAAGGTTCGACGAAGTGTTCTACGTACATTATTGTGGTTGTAACGGTGTTCGACAGTTACTCTTGTCCAAATTGGGAACAACTCTGTTTTGTAACGGAGTCTACAGATATCTCCAGGAATTACATCGCATCTCTTTTGTAAACATAATTCCGTTAGAATGTACATTGTTGGTTTTGCTGGGCGTGAAAGAATTCGACTTTTCATTCCAGTTAGATGATGTTTCAGTATGATTTCGCATTGTTACCACATCTTTTCAATACCAGAAAAGAATAAGTTTAACAATAGTCTGTTTAGGTTTGAGTCTTTGTCTCTCGCTGGTAGAGGGAGTTTCAGAACAAATTGTTGAAGCGAATAGACCACTTGGAAGACACTGGTGTAGATACGCGGATGATTATTTTAAAATTGGTTTTAAGGTAGCGGAGTGTGACTACGGACTGGATTATTCTAAGAGTAGGGTTATTGTCTTATCTTGCGAACACGACAATGAACACAACAAATCTTGTGGTTCTATAAAAGACGGGATGTTTCTTGAAGAGATAAGGGATTGTTTGCGTCTCAGAAGTAACTGTGATCCTTGGTGTCAATTGTTAGCCTCCTACCGGATAAAAAAACAACTGCCACTGTACGATTTATCCCTACTTCCATGTTGGTATTACTGGTTGTATGAGATTGAAAATTTCGATTGGTATTATTGATTTAAGAAATTAAAAAGTACGAAATGTGGTGGCAATCATTCAGTGGCGTGAAGTTTACAAAAATATAACGAAAATTCGTCTATAATTTGAGTTGTTATGGAGTAATTCACTGGTGTGACAAAAGCCTTTTTCTCATAAACAAAAATATAGGCAGTATTTGTTTACGTGTTTGATAAAGACGTGAGCGTGTGTTTTTATGTGGACACCTCGAAACTTTAAAGACCTTCGAAGTCTCTTCCGGATGAGGATTTATAGTTTTTGTAATTCTGTGTAAATTTGCAATCTGCATGACAGTAAAAGTTCCGACAGTAAGATCCTCTGTTTCCTTTCATACAAGGTCAAGGCGCTAATACTGCTGCTGATAAGATCGTGACATTACACCGCCCTCTTATCGACGTTTTACATAATGTTAAGTTCGTGTTTGAAAATTCTAAATAGGTTGTACAATTTCTGTAATACTTTTTACCCCGCTGAATTTTTCATAATAATGAAAACATCTGATGCGCATGGGTGCAGAAAAGCTTCTTAACGGAGCTACAGCTGTATTATAAATCACAGAGACGCTGACTACGTAAATTGATTGGTTTTATGTGAGCCATGTAATTATGCTGTTTAAACTCGTGAGGGTAGAAATGAGATGAGATGGGAATAAGATCATTAATGATAAGATTGTAAGGATTTGGAAGGAGGCAATAGTCACCTATGTATGATCTATAGCTTTCGTGCCGATAAAATTCTATGAAGCCTTCACGGGCGGTCATAAAACATTTAACAGTGAACATTGGAAACTGTTTATTAACCAAAAGGATACGGGAAATGAAAATATTTTTAAAATATGTGTGACACTAACTAGAATTTGTGGACCACCATAAATTAATTCAAGGCCAATCAGGATCTACAGACCACTAGCTGAGAAACATTGAAATAAGTAACACAGGAAACTTGATAGTTTTTGTAGGAAGTGATGGTTTCCAAGTTCAAAACCTTCAGTTTGGAGGACAATCTTCGTTGCATCTTAAATAATAAATTATTTAAATTTTCAGATCCAATAGACTTCTGTTCGGAAGAAAGTTGAATTGCTCTGTTTTCCTCTTACGAATTACAAGTGTCATCAAGACATGTTGGAATTTAAGGAGGTAGATGGTGAATTAGGAGACATCTTGTCAAAGAAATTTACTAACGTCTT